AAAAAAAAAAAGGAAATATCTGCAATATTTCTTAATAAATTCTCAAGTTAAAAATAAATGAACTAATATGATTTGCATCTTTAAAAATACTGGAGTTGAATATTTTATTCAGCACATTAATGCAGCATAATGTAAAGTGTCTCAGGACAAGTGTTTGAGGACAGTGATGTGCGAGTATGTTAACGGAGTGACGGCGAGGACAGACGCAGGACTTTCTGAACAGATGAGGTGTGCGGTTATCTATCACGCCTGTCATGGTAATTAAGTGTGTATGGCAGCTGCGATGTCTGGCCATCAGGGGAAGCGCGAGGGGCAAAGTAATGGTGACTCGCGCAATGAAGTAGGAGCTGCCTCGCCGGTCGCTACGGCAACAGCAGCCACGGTATTCTGGGAATCTGGGCCGATGATGTCACCTCTGTTAGCACAAAGCACAGATGGACCGAGGCAGGTACCGAACAAGAGCTTCGCAAACACACGCGGACAGCCAGGTGTTCTCCTTCCCACAGTTGACCAAGCATAGAGAAGCACACACGAGGACGCGTTTATGGGAATACACTTAAGCAAACAGACACGGCTGCACGCTAAAGGACATTTCATTTGTGTCAGGGCTTCAATGCAAGCTGTGACCTCGACGTGAAAACTCCATCAGAGGAAGGCGATTTTACCAGAAAACAAGCGTATGCATATGCTTTAAAACTACCCCTTATTTAAAGTAGTTAAACTACAGGCAAAACTCTTGAACATTACAAGCTACTAATAAAAGCAGTGAAATTATTTAAAGGGGCAAAATCTTTTTAAGCTGTCACATGATCAGGCAAACTCACTTTTCTCAGTAATAAACTACACTTTTAAATAGCTATTTTATTTTTTAACTCCAGGTTTCTCACTAGAGAGAATCCCATAGTGCTTTGTTTAAATCAGTGTTGTTATTGTTAACTTAAAATAAAAATATTTTAAAAATATTTTTTGTTAAGTGAAATAAAGCTAAAAATAAAGTATAATTATTATTAAAACTTAATAAAAATTAAACAGAAATGTTAGCTTGGTAACCAACTGAAATTAATTAATTTTAATTTGATATACTAAAATTACTAACACTAAAACTGAAAATAAAATAAATTAAAGCAAAACAGAAATAAAAAAACTAACATAAAAAAGTACATAGCACATTTACTGAAACTTCCTCTAATATTAAAATGAAAACGTTATAATAGTATATAAATAATACTAAAATAACACTCATTTGAACTAAACAGATACATTTACGTTAAAGGGTTAGTTTACCCAAAAATGAAAATTCTGTCATTAATTACTCACTCTCATGTCGTTTCAAACCCGTAAGACCTTCGTTCATCTTCGGAACACAATTTAAGATGTTTTTGATGGAATCTGAGAGCTGTCTGACCCTGCATAGACAGCAAAGCAACTGAAATGTTCCCAAGTCCAGAAACTAATGGAGATCTGTAAAATAATCCATGTGACATAAGTGGTTCATCCGCAATTATACGAAGATACGAGAATACTTTTTGTGCACAAAAGAAAAAAAATAATGACTTTATTCAACAATTCATCTCCTCCGCATCACCCTGGTGCCATTTTGGAGAATATCAGCTGGACGTAAACAGCGTATGCTGTTCTGTGTCAGCTGCGTCACCGGATCTGTTTCCTACGTTGTCGTGATTTGATCTGAACGGAAACAGCGTATCCGTGTGACGTTGTTACGTTTCTGGACTTGGGAACATTTCAGTTGCTTTGCTGTCTATGCAGGGTCAGACAGCTATCAGATTCCATCAAAAATATCTTCATTTGTGTTCTGAAGATGAACGAAGGTCTTACAGGTTTGAAATTACATGAGGGTGAGTAATTAATGACAGATTTTTAAATCATTTTTGGGTGAACTAACCCTTTAATACAAATTAGTGACGTTAAAAACTAGAACTAATGTATATAACACACTAAATATTATTTTTTTAAAAGAAGATTTAACCAGTTTTATTTGAGGTCATTAAGATACTATTGTAGTTTTCATTAATATTTGAAACCAGCTTTTATTTTTACATCTTCTGTTTTAATTTTATCTTTAATTAAAGTTTTAGTAATTTGTTGCGTGTTGCCATTTTTAGTAGTTTATTTTGTCTATATAGTTTTAATTAATTTTTATTTCAATTTTAGTTATTTTAATACATCAAATTAAACTAAATTAA